GAAACTGAACTTTGTTGAAATAGGAGCATTAGATGATGAAGATAAAGAAGATCAAATCATCATGGGTACCATCAGAAGATGAGATCTCAAAGAAGAGGAAGAGAATAAGAAAGGAGGAAAAAAAAAGTGATAATTGAAATAGAAATACTTAATGCATTATGTATTATGGATAATAAATTAATAGATGTTATATATAATATTATTAATTGAAGATTTAATGTTGGTGCAATTTTTTATACATATTTACCACATGTTCTACAATTCATATAATTATATACATACATATGTAGGTTCTGTTATCTATAGTACAGATGGCTAGAGGGAGGGCGGTTGATTCAGATGCGTCCAGCAGTGGTTCACGTGGAGGTCATGGTCGAGGACGCAGTACACGTGGACGAGGGGGGACTATCACTCCTACTTCTTCTTAAAGTACATCTGGGGGTTCATCTTCTGCTTAACCCCCCGTGCCGCCACCGCTTCCTTTTATTCCTTCCTCTTCTACCCCATTTCCAGGACCAGTAGAGTCTTCACCAGCTTCACAGTCACCTACTGCACCAAGTAATCATAACTGTCATTTACTGTCATTTTAGTTATATATTAATTATTTCTCTATATTGATAACATTTGTCACTTCTTTTTCAGATTCATCAGAGCCACGTAACAAGATCAGTTTGGTAGCAGGACAGTAAGTACTTATTTACTTTTTCCTTTGAACTTGGTTTTGTACAGATTTGATTCTTTCGTCTACTTATATTTCACTTATGTTTTTTTTCTCAGCATATATATCCATCCTCTCGAGCATCAAGGCAAATTATGAGGATAATCAAGCTATATCTTAATAAAGATGGATACACATGAGATGTCGTACCATAAGAGGCGAGGGACTTTTATTGGGAAGAGTTTCTGGTATGATTTGGTTCAAATTATATCTTCATTCAATGTAATTAATAATCTGAATCTATGGACCTTCAGTTACTCTTTATGGAAATATTATTTTTCATTTCTGCAGAAGCATTTCGTATGGGGAGAGGCTATTACGGCTATGCTAAAAGTGGCCTGGGAGAAATTATGTGCTCTACGGTATGCTGACTTCACTTATAGGATGCGAAAAAGCGGTAAGAAGCAGCAGAGCGTGTCTCAGGAGATATGGCAGAGTTGGAGATATTTGCACGAAATAGGCGCAGTGAGACTACCGATGACGAAGCAGGACCTTCTCGACACACAGGCGGATCAATATCTGCTATAGAGACATCTCGATTATTAGTAAGTCAGTCAATTCGTTACAGTTACTAAACTAATGTTTAATGAAATGACACCATATTATTATATCGTGCATAAAAATTCATTATAGGCTGAAAATAATGGTCGTGAGCCCACATCAATGGAGGTGTTCACTTACACTCACACAAAGGACTACGAAGGAAATACGTTTGTTGACAAACGTGCGTTAAGCGTCAATGTAAGTAACAATGAAGAATATTTACATTTACTTTCTAGTCTTCTCTTACGTGTACAAGTTTAATATAATAAAGCTTGCGACTGTCAAAGATATTATACATTTACTTCTAGTTTCTCTTACGTGTACAAGATTTAAATAATAAAGCTTGCGACTGCATGTGATTAACTTAATTTTGTTGTTTTAGGAGAACTACAGTTTACAGCTCGCGAGCATGTTTTCTTCTCAGGTGGATCTAAAGTTGAGTCAAGAATTAATGAGTTAGACTTATCTGACCGTTTAGTTGTTAATAGGGGTGATAAAAAGAAGAGGAAAGTATAGGTAGGCTATCTTGATTAGTCTCCAGGCATCAAAGTTATTACTAACGGTATCACTCAGCATCTGACGTCTGCATCCCTTCTTCACTACCACAGCCCACGAGGGATTTATGCTATTTACGGAGCTCGTGTTGAATATAACGGCAAAGAGAGGACAGACTTTGCAGAGTTTAGGAGCGCATGTCATGCGGATGTGCGGTATCATAGTTTATGATAATCTTTCCTTTGATTCTCCTCAAGCTATAAGATTCCACATGATTTCTAAGCTCTTGCATCAGCCACTTATCGTTCTCCTCTTGAATCCCAGGACTGCAGACGATACCTTGGTCACTCGAGTAACAGAGCACATACGTACACAAGTCTAGTAGATAATACATATTAATTAGTAACACTTACACTGAGATACGTCCATAGCATTAAGGAGCGACATCATAGATTTATGTATTTGGACCCATTTTGATTATTTCGTGATTGTTTTCATATATTGATATAGTACATTACATTTACAATCCTTCTTTATGATAGTTATTTTTTTATATCGAGATGGCTTGCATGAATTGTGGTGCTGTATATAGTATGCTCGATTATTGGACAGGTACGAGTATATATATGTCGATTTTTGACAGGTAGAAAAAATTATGGTTTTTAATATTATTATTTTTTTTTTTTTGCCTGTAATTATATTTTACGACCGACTGACGACCGAACTACAACTAAATTATAACCATTAAATTTAAATTTGCGACATTTCACCAACCAATTACTTTCAGAATTTGCAATCTATTTGCGACTGCATTTCATAATTGCAACTGACACATTCCGCGACCAATTTGAGACAAGCTTCCAGAAGGAAAACATAACGAAAATTAGTGATCAATATTTATAAGTTTGCGACCGCTAGTCATTCGGTCGCAAAATTATTTGTGAAGAGCACTTTTGCGACCGATTAATATCTGTTGCAAATCGGTCGCTATATCCATTTAGCGACCGATTTCTTATATCAACTCGGTTGCAACTTAGCGATTTTTTTGTAGTTAATACTCTCTTGTATGCCAAATCAAAGAGAAATTGCATGATAGTGAACCTCGTTACTAAAAAAAAATAGATTCACATGTATGGTAAATCTATATAATAATCGGAAAAAAATCCGATTGATTAATTTTTCTTTCCACAACTGAGAATATTAAATCGATGAGAAAGGAAGGAAAAAAAATGTAGATGTAAGGGCATACACCTTGAAAAACTCTTGATGCACTCACAATAACTCCTTGAAAATGGCTCAACACGCTTTCAAACCCTAAGACAGATGCTTTCCAAAGTATAGTGTGATTTGAAGGAAGTCATGAGAGGTCTTTATATGTTGGACGGTTCAAGTGGCTTTGCTCTAAAAGCTAGAATAGTGAAAAATGGGATTCTAGAACAAATTAGAATGCTAGTTTTTTGTTCAACCAATTTATCTACAACGAAATCAGTAAGTTGAGTGGTTACTACTTTATTAATTTCATTGAAAATCAATTTTAATAACAATTGATGCCGATGGCTTGAGAAGAAGCCATTACTAGCCAAATTACACTATAATTTTTTAAAATTCAATTATGCTGCATTATTAGAGACATGTATTAAAAATTTATCTGCATTAAATAATTAATAGAACATATACATATACTTAAATAAAATTAAACTTTAATTTATCGATTTTCGACAATATGACAAATGCAATTTTTCACTAACTTTATTCAAATGCATAAATAGTTATATACATGTTACCAACATAGTCATATATATAGTACCAATTTAGAATTTATAGTTTTGCACCATATAGCTAGGCCCTTTATTAAACACCAATATATAGTTTTAATATGTAATTAAATTGTATGTATATAGTTATATAAATGTTATTATAAATGATAATTTCTGACCAATAAACGTTACTATAAATGTAGATCTGATCATATACTTAGTTTAATAATATATTTATATATGTATATATAGACCATTTTCTAGACTAAAGTTAAATATTTGCAATTGTTGAATTTGAAGAAGGAAACTAAAAGGATCTAAACAAATAGATAATGACTGAATTCCTAATTATATTCCAACTCCATCAACCAACTAGAGTTGAGGACTGTAAGCGTGGGAAAATCAATTGGTGGTAGAGTTAGATAGGGGAAACGTGGAGTTTCATTTACATGTTGGTAACAATCCGGCGTATTTCATGGCAGTTTCTTGGACTGACAGCACTCAGCAGATTTGGATTTTAGAAGACTACAATCTTCAGATCTCAAATGTTGATATGTTCATCTTCCCTACGTGAGGTACGTCCATGGGCAAGGGATTGTGATCATTGCTTATGGCAGTAAAGTTTTAGGCCTTTTCATGATTATGACAGGCAAGGCAGTGATGGTCAATATCGTTATCTAATCAATTTAGCGGGAAACAATGATCTATGTGTTGTGGAAATTGGGCTTTTTCCACCAAATTAAAATAATTTGTGAAATATTGTACTGAGTAACAATGCTAGGTAAATTCTAAGATAAGTGAAGGAGTCACAAGGGTCTCACTTAAAATCCACTTGCCTTAGACTAAATTCGTGTCGTTTGACAGAATTTACCTAGACATGCAATTAATCAGTATATTGCCCAACAATAGCTATTAAATAAATAAAGACAAATTAAACTTTCGTGTCGCTTTGATCAGAATTTACTGATGACATGTCAGATTATATCTAGTTATATTGGCCAACTGCTATTAAATAAATAAAGGGACCAACCAATAAAATAAGAGAGAACACCAAGAATTTTAAACTGAAGGTTCTGGCCAATTTTGCTACCTACGTGCAAATTGGACAACTACCAGAAATTCTCATATCCACTAAAGAAATATACAAAAATTGGAGAGAAAAGGAGAGAAAGCCTTGTCTAACCCACTGAGGTATTGGAGACAGCTTGGACGAATTTTGACAACTATAAAGAGAGCCATAGGCTCCTATTTATAGCTAAAAAGTACAACCTGCTCCTTTTCTAAAATGTCCCGCATGTGGAGAAAAATCTTGCCACGATAACAAATAACTCTCCAATAATCTCCACCTTGCAAAAATCCACCAATACAACTTCTGCTCTCTCTTTACAAAGTTGAGAGTGTCTTCAAATGCTGTCTTGGTTCATCAAATAGTCTGCTCTCTCTTACAAAGTTGTAATGTCTTCAAATGTGCTTGGCAGTGCCAAGCTTCAATTTTTAACAATATTGATCAAGTCCAAACAGTGTTTGAACTTGACGGCTGTCACCACTTTTGTCATCATATCAGCAGGATTCTCAGTAGTTTGAATTTTCTGGAGTTGAACCTGTCCTTCTTCCAGAATTTCTCTGACAAAATGAAAGCGAATGTCGATATGCTTTGTCCTTGCATGATAAACTTGGTTCTTTGCCAAGTGAATAGCACTTTGGCTATCGCAATGTTCAACAATGTTGTTTTGCCTAATTCTCAATTCATCAAGCAACCCTTGAAACCAAATTGCCTCCTTCACAACCTCTGTAACTGTCATATACACTGCCTCTGTTGTAGACAAAGCCACTGCTGACTGTAAAGTAGACTTCTAACTAACTAGTGCTTTTGCAAGAGTAAACGCATAACTAGTAGTTGATCGACGTTTATCCAAATCCATTTCACAGCTTGCCAATGCTCCTTGTCAGGATCATGCATGTACTTGCTCACAACTCCAATTGCTTGTGAAATGTCTGGCCTTGTATACACCATAGCATACATCAAGCTACCTACAGCATTTGCATAGGGAACTTTTGACATGTATTCCCGTTCTGCATCAATATTTAGCGACTGAGCTGCACTGACTTTGAAATGAGGAGCAAGAGGTGTACTAACAGGCTTGGTTTTGTCATCCATACCAAAATGCTTTAGTATCTTTCTTAGATATTGCTTCTGATTCAGACAAAGTCTCCCTAATTTCCTATCTCTGGTTATCTCCATCCCCAGAATCCTTTGTGCTTTGCCCAGATCTTTCATTTCAAATTCTTAATTAAACTGATTCTTCAAATTCTCAATTTCTTCTTTGTTCTTTGAAGCTATCAGCATATCATCAACATACAAAAGAAGATAAATGAAAGAGCCATCCTGTAGCTTGCGCAAATACACACAATGATCGTATTTGCTTCTTGTGTACTTCTGCCTTTGCACAAACTTATCAAATCACTTGTACCACTACCTTGGAGATTGCTTTAATCCGTAAAGTGATTTTTCAAGTTTGCATACCATATTTTCTTTTCCAGCAACTTTGAATCCTTCTGGCTGAGTCATATAGATTTCCTCTTCCAGATCTCCATGTAAAAATGCAGTTTTCATATCCAATTGAACTAGTTCCAAATCAAACAAATGCATTTCGATATCCAATTGAACTATGAGTTCCACAAAATCAAATCACTGTTGCTTACCAAGGCTGAATAAAAATCCGAATGAGAGGAATGTTTTACAACTGGAGAAAAACACATTCATTATAATTTCAGTTCCCTCCAGTTTGACTATAGCTTCGAATGGAGGAATGTTTTACAACTGGAGAAAACACTTCATTATAATCAATTCCCTCCATTTGAGCATAGCCTTTAGCTACCAATCTTGCCTTGTAGTGAAAACTATCTCTGTCAGGAAATCCTTCTTTCTTTGCATATACCCATTTGCATCCAATCGCCTTCTTTCCCTTTGGTGGAACAACTAAGTTCCACGTCTGATTCTTTAAAAGGGACTTCATTTCATCTTCCATAGCTTTTCTCCATTTTACTTCTTCTGACCTTTTGACAGCTTCATTAAAAGTGGATGGAATGCTATCATCTGCAATTTGAGATACATAGTCCACCATATCATCAAAACGACCAGGCTTTCTTATAAATCTTCTTGGCCTATCAAGTGCAATTGACTCAAGTTGATGTGGAGGTTCTTGGAGTTGAACCTCGTCTTCATCTGACCCTCTTTCTACCTTAGGAGTTTCTGCAGGTTCAATACCTGCCACTAGGATTTTTCTATCAAACTCCACCTGTTTTGGAGTATCCTCCACTATTGTGGAGTACCATCTGACTGCTCCATTGTCACTTTTTTCAACATGGTAGATTCATCAAAAGTGAGATCTCTGCTAAAGATTATTTTCTTTATTCCTGGACACCATAGCCGATAGCCTTTAACACCTGTGCTTATCCCCAAAAATATGGTTTTCTCAGCTCTTGGATCCAGCTTCGATTCCTTAACATGATAATATGCAGTGGAACCAAATACACGTAAGGAATCACAATCATTAGCAGGTTCTCCACACCATAACTCTATAGCTGTTTTGCCTCCAATAGTAGTTGATGGTAATCGATTAATGAGATGGCATGCATATGACAAAGCCTCAGCCCAAAATTTCTTGTCTAACCCAACATTAGACAACATACACTGAACTTTCTCTAGCAATGTTCAGTTCATGCTTTCTGCCACCCCATTCTGCTGTGGTGTATTTCTAATTGTGAAGTGTCGAACAATGCCTTCATCTGCGCAGATTTTATCAAAATCATCATTTTTATATTCTCCTCCCTTATCTGTTCGAAGACATTTGATGCGTCTGCCAATCTGAGTTTCCACCAATTTTTTCCATTCGAGGAAAACTCCTAGCGCTTCATCTTTTGACTTCAAAGTATACACCCTTGAGAGAAATCATCAACAAAGTCACATAATAGTGTTTGCCACCCAAAGAAGCCGTTGTAGAGGGTCCTTATACATCAGAGTGAACATAGTCCAAAATACCCTTGGTATTATGGATTCCAGTGCCAAATTTCACTTTTGACTGCTTTCCTTTGGTGTAATGCTCACAGAAGTCCAACTTGCAGGTTTTGACATCTTTCAATAATCCCTGATCTGCCAAACTTTTCAAGGATTTTTCACCGGCATGTCCCAAGCGCATATGCCATAATCTGGTTGTTTCCAACTCTTTGTCATCACTAGAAACAACTACTGTTGTCGATCCAATAATTTGATTACCCTGATAGTAATACCAATTATTCCTTCTCCATACTCCTTTCATCACTACAAGTGCACCAGAGATGACTTTCATCATTAATGACTCCAAACAGAGAGTCCATGATCTTGACAAAAAAGTGTAATAACTCTTAATACAATAGCCTCACGTTTTGCCTTGAGTTACTATGCCAAACTTTTACAAGGAATGTTTTTTCACCTGGCATTGTCCCAAATGCTGTGCATATTATGCCCATTTATGGTATAGTGCGTGGGATTAGACTTATGTCCAACTCTTGGTGCCATCACTAGGAAGTAACACGTAACTATCCGTTGACGCGTCGATCATGACAGCTTGAGATTAAATTTGATTGCGACACTCCAGCCCTAAGTATGAGTAATAACCAATTTATTCCATTACTCCATACGTCCGTGTTACTCATCACTTACAAATGCACCAGGCGGAATCTGGTATACTTTCTATTCTTCCAGTTCACATCTTCGACAAGTATTCCCGCTATAGGTCGATGTTTCATTTTGAATTCTAGGACTCCCACTGGAAAAACTAGATTTCTTGTCAAACTCCGTAACATATCGAACATCAGTCAGAATCTGTTGATCCCACATTGGATCTTCAACATGGATTGGAACCAATTCCCTGTCTTTGAAGCAAGCGGAGTGTTATTTATCAGTAGTACACACGTTCCATTATGTCAAGTTTTTAAAGCTCAAAATAATAATACACAGAGTCTCGTAGGGCGACATTGCTCCAATTTGAGTCGAATGCAGTAGAGGCTCTAACAGCCATACATCACCAAGAAAACCTTGTGCGGGGCGCAAATCCTGGCCAAGAAAATGAGGTAGTGTGTCTACGTAATTAACGTAGTGTCCTAGAGATAAGCAGTGTGAACAGTGATGCAGGAACATCTGAGATCAGCTTAAAAGAGTTGCCCGCACTGTCATCTACACAACTCAACCCGAGTGTGGTGATATAAGCCTGCGTGACGACAGCCCTAACGTGGGTCAGCACCTTTTGGGCAGTTCTGGTTTCACATTTTGGTTCAAAACACTTCTGGTGTATCGTGATACCTTATCCCTTGTCCTCAATATTCATCACTCGGGTCAGGTGGAGGCAGTAAAATTTACGCGTCAACAACCAGAAGAACTGCCCTAATGAGCTGAACTAGGTAATGGTAATGTAAATGGGGGCTTCCGCTGACTGACAGTGATCCTGCTACCTCCAATTAGGACCTGCTCTGCACTGCACGTCCTCAAAACCCCTGCCCTTAACCTGGATGGACATAGTCCCATCTATAAGATGCATGCTCTGAGCTGGAAGGCTGCAGAAAATGAAAGAAAAACTAGAACTCTTGGAAACTGTCAATCACTGCCCCTTAAAACACATAAGACATGGTGGACATGGACTCCTTGTGCCTTATTCCCTAAAGCAAGATTGTTCGATAAGTTCAAGATGCCTTAAACATGGACAAGTTTGATGGAACCACTGCTCCCCCAAAACGGCACCTTGGACAATTTCATATGAGGGTGCCCTCAAACCCCGTTTGGCTTGAACAGCGAGGCTAAACCCTGCTTCAGTGGTATTCAACACAATTCTACTGATGGTGGCTCTCTTGAAGATGGTTTGTTCAGGCCTAAGGTCGGCACTAAAAGTGGAAGACCTGGGAAGACATTCCAAATGCGGTTTTAACAGCAGTACCCACTTATAATATTTAGAGCGTGGAGGCTTACGCGGAGAGAACTGGAGACAACCCACCCAAAACAAAAGAGCAACGAACCCTTTTCCTCTTCCTTACGAGGTGGAGCGCGCCAAGGACCACCCAAAATGATCAATCGGCCTTCAGACCACAAGCACAGGGTAGACATAAGTTCATCAAACAAATCTGCTACGTTTCTCGTGTGCGTGACCAACAACCAACTCGCAAACTCATCAACGTACCTACACCAACGTTTCAGTCTCTTCAAATTGCTTACGTGCAAACCAAGGTAGACGGATACTATTAAATGACATGCTTTCGCCTTTGGCTATATCAGTTAATTGGACAATACTTTCTTCCTAGTTGCCTTTCTCAGCGGATCAAAATATGAGGAAAGAACTCATATTTAGTCAACTCTGGGACTTCTTGACGGGTACGTTGCCGCTAACTTTTCTTATCCCCTCAATCTTTCTTCCAGTGACCTTTCTCACGATAAAAGGCACACTCATCTTTTTCAACTCTGGCTTTTGAACGGGATCTACTTTTCTTTCCCCCTTTCTTTTGGCTTCTTGAACAGCCTCCAACCACCAGAGCTTCTACTTCAGTTGCTTTTTCCTTCTTTTCTCTCTTTCTCTATTCATGGCTGTAAAGATCAGCACAAACTTCACTGAAAGTCACGTCTTTATTCCCGTGGATTAGAGTCATTGTAAGAAACTCAAATTCATCAGGTAGAGATGCCAACAACAACAATGCCAAATCTTCATCTTTAAATGTCACATCCAAATTAAACAAATCAGCCACCAACTGATTAAATTTTGTGATGTGTTCATTCATAGTGGTACCAAGAACATAATTGACACAATACAATTTGCTCTTCATGAAGAGTTTGTTCTGATCGTTTTTCTTTAAAAATTTCTCCTCCAATGCCTTCCACAATTTATTTGTAGAAGTTTTCTTCAAAAAAAGCATATTTTTGCTCTCTAGAAAGACACGACCAAATTGTACCACATGCCTGACGATTGATGGTCCTCCATTCGCTCTTCTCCATCTCATTTGGTTTCTCTTCTTCAATAGCAACATCTAGACCTTGCTGAAAGAGAGCATCTAGAAGTTCACTCTACCACATGCTGAAATGACCGGTGCCATAAAAAATCTCCACTGTAAATCTTGCATTTGATACAGCATTTCTTACTAAGGTTGATGCTGTAGCAGGTGTGGTATTTTCTTTCCGTCTGCCATTTCTGCTTTAATCTGCTTTAAATATTTAACAGGCTATAAAATCAATTTTCAAAAATGCGGAACAAACTAAAATGCGGAACACAACTAAGGAACTTTTTTTATGTGGAAGATCAGACTATGCTGCAACCACAGTGAATACTTAGTAACCTTAGCTCCGATACCAATTGTTGTGGAAATTGGGCTTTTTCCACCAAATTAAAACAATTTGTGAAATACTGTACTGAGTAATTATGCCAGGTAAATTCCCAGATAAGTGGAGAAGTCTCAAGGGTCTCACTTAAAATCCACTTACCTTACACTAAATTCGTGTCGTTTGACATAATTTACCTAGACATGCAATTAATCAGACAATAATCACCAAAAATATTTTGCCCAACAATAGCTAGTAAATAAATAAAGACAAAGTAATAAATAAGAGAGAACACCAGAATAAATAAATAAAGA